ATCAGGTAGCAGCAACGTTTATGTCATCTATGGATGCCTAATGAATTTCCATTAATGGGAGGAGGGGAAGGAAGTTGTTAAAATTTACAACTAGATACACTATTTTGTGTTGTACAGTGACATATGACAAGGATGACAACTGCAGAAGTATTAGATTCTGCATATTGTGTATATCACAGTATACAAAAATGTGGGTTTCTTCTTGGAAAATCCATATTTTTGCTCATTTTGTTCTCTTGATGCACAGGCCAGAACAAACCTGCCAACTCCTACGTCAAGGTCACCATCAACAAGAATTCCCGTGCCACCCTCAACAGCTTGAGGCACATCATTTGCAAGAACAAATACAGGAAGGACCTGCGTATGGTGAGCTTAATCTGTGGTTTTGGGGAGGCTGAAACTTTAAATAGCTGGCATTTTTGTTTGTGTCAAAGTTTAAGAACAACATTTAAGTCTCATTTGTTTCCCCAGGCTGCCCTGCGTCGTGCCAGCGCTATCCTGAAGAGCCAGAAGCCTGTTGTGGTCAAAAAGAAGCGCACCAGGGCTGCCAAGACCGCATAAACTCATTCACATGATAAATAAATAAAAGGGTTTTTGTTTGGAAAAAACACTACAGTGTCCTGAGTCTTCAATTTTGAGCATGAGCTTCTTTAGATCAGTGATCTGCGCAGGTATCCGATGTGGTTATATTTTTAAAGCAGTGTTTTTGTCTGAGGAATTGATGCACATAAATGGATGTTTTTCTTCCCCACGATAATTTGTTTTTTCTCAAGTGATAATTCACTTCCACGAGTCCGAAAACAGTCCTGATGAGCTGTGTAGATGTATGGAAGCAGAAAAAAAAGTTACATGTTACTTTTGATAGGTGTGCAGTTTCCTTGTGACGGCCATTAGTTTTGTCACAACTACAAATGTGGCAGTAAGTGGAAAATGGGTGAGTAAGACTGATTATCCAAGTTTCTGCCCATACATGACAGGCTTTAGCTTTAGATGCTGCTGCTACTGAGAGTTTACTTAAAAGCTACAATTGTGATTTTTAGATTGAAATTTGTTTCCAGTGTTTTGTATGTTAATGAATAGGGAGTACCTCCTCCCGAACTCCCTCCCCTGATGATCCGTTGTTATAGATCGTATTTGTATTTGAGGACGATCACACTGAAGCAATCTGCTTCTGCTACTGCACTTAGTGATACGGAAACATTGGATTGATTTAAAAGCAGCCCACTGGCAGCTTTCCACCCATGGCTTTGGAAAGAAAGAACCATTGTCACTCCCACCCCTGCCGTGTTTAAGCTGACAATATCTGCACCGACCATTTATTCCTGTCTTCACCTGTGACAAGGATCGCTGGGTTACTGTGAAGATGTGACAGAAGCTTTGTGCTGCAGTCGCTATGAGGACACTAAGGCTTTTGCTGGTAACCCTGACGCTGCTGGTGCTGGAAAGTCAGGGTTTTGAACTGCAGGATACGATCCATGCGCTGATAGAGGAGAACATCCACCTCCATGACCAGCTGGAGAACCTCACCAAGGCCCTCAGAGAGCTCAAACGGATGCTGTGGCTTCACTCAAATGGTACAGAGTCCTCTTTATGTTATCTGTAAATACAGGTGGGCAGGCTGAGCTTGGTTTTGGTTTTTAATAAAAATAACTCAAAACGATGATGGTTAAGATGAAATAAGAAAACGTTCCTTTGAGGAATTTATGTTCTTTAAATTAAAAATCCACAGTACAAGAAAATAATTCAAATGGGAAATAAAATCTTCACGTTTGTGTGTTTAATTCTGATCCTTTTCTTTGTTACAAAAGTCTTTTTCATATCTTTAGTGTCTCCTACTCTATATTTCACTGCACATATTCTTGTATGGTACACAAAAACAACATCTTTGAGCTGAAATGAGAGACAATCGCACAGAAGCTGATTTTGAGACAGTGTATGGGGATGAAATGTTGGCGTCCAAGGTCAAAACGGCTTTTCCCCTTTCATTTACTCTTCATGTTCTGTATGTTTTAATCCTCTCCCGGCTCTTTGTGTTAACTCATGCACTCTCTGCATACACATTAGCACTTCAGGGCTCGATTAGGATGCAGGATGTTATGCATTTTTTTCATATACTCTGTGCTGTTCGCAGAATAAAAGATATTAACAGAGCAATTCTCTGTTTTTGATACAGACCCAGATCATCACCATGAACATCGTGATGAAGATGTCCAGCATCTGTGGGACGAATGGTCAGAACATGGTGTGTATGTCTGCAGCTGGCTGAACTACTCCCGTGACTTCACAGAGCTGTGCTCACTGCATTAGTTTGCATTGATTTCATGTGGACAGCACCAGTGTTGGACAAGTTACTTGAAAAAAGTAATCAGTAACTAATTACTGATTACTTCCCCAAAAAGTAATCCCGTTACTTTACTGATTACTTATTTTCAAAAGTAATTAATTACTTAGTTACTCAGTTACTTTTTAAAAACACAATTTACAACCTGAAGAGGTGATAAAGCGATAGATCTTTCAGCCCAATTCTACTTTTTCTGCATAATCCATCATACAAAATGTAATCAAATGGAAAAGTCTCTTTTTTTTTAACTTGTTTTATCAGTTTTAATCTTTTAACTTTATGCATCAAGCAAAAATTTAATTATATGCAACATTCTCTGAGTTGAATAAATGAGTTTAACATTTAAACCTATTTTCTGCACATTCCAGCACATAAAATAAAAACATTTTTTGTTTACACTCACTCTTTCAAATAGATGCAAGTAAAACACAGCAGAACATAAATAAAGTCAAAGACTCAGTGGTCCTGTTGCTCTATTTTCACCTGTAAAGCAGGACTGCGGTAGGCGGAGGTTTACCCTGGTGCAGGTGTGCAGCGGTCAGTGGAAGGATACGGCAGTGTCGTTGCGCTCTCGGTGCTTGCTTGGAAGTTTAGGGTTTTTTTTCGCTGTAAAAATAAGTTTTCTTCCCACGCACGATGGACGCTAATGTTTTTGTCACTTTTTATGGAATCAAACTCAAAGTAAGGTCAGTACTTCCACGCTTTAAACGCTGCACGCTCATACTCTCTCCCACAATCGATATGTGATCCATTGTTGATCTGCACACAGCTGTTGTCACTAACCGCGCACTCGTTTACGTCACTGTCGTGAGACATTCTCGCAAAAAATCACGGTTTTAGTAACGCAGTAACGCAGCGTTCCTACGGGAAAGTAACGGTAATCTAATTACCGTTTTTGCAATAGTAATCCCTTACCTTACTCGTTACTCAAAAAAAGTAATCAGATTACAGTAACGCGTTACTGCCCATCTCTGGACAGCACAGGTTAATGAGTTGCACTTTGGGATAAACCAGCTGCCTAATGCACACCCCAGCTGACAAAGTGTGACAGAATTTCTCCTTTCCTGGCAGGTATCAGTGCAGAAACCCACCTCCTGCTGGAAAACACCTTTTGTGGGCATGGCCTGCATGGCTCAGCAGCTCCTCTCCACGGACACGGAGCACACCTCATACGCCTGCTGATGCTGCTGCAGCTGCTGCTGATAATGATGAGATGCCTGTAGGCTGCAGCGGTCTGATGTCAGAAAAGTTGAGTCAACTCCTCATGGCCGCTGCAGGCTGTATTGTGCAATTTAATATGGTTGAACAGCGAGTGTCGATGCCACCGCTCTTCCTGTTCAGAGGAATTATTGAGCCGACAAGATTTGAAGAGTTGACCTGTCAATCCTGTGTACAAATCACCTCTGGGGAGGATTCACTGGAGCGAAAAGTTAATGTGGGTGTAGAAAGCAGACTGAGAGCAGGTTAAACACAGGGAGTTGCTTTGCTTTTTAGCCATTTATTGTATTAATGAAATACAATAAATGTTTATAACTAAGCTGAACTCAGAAAGTTGGTTTTTGTAACTCTAAATGGAAATGCTGTGAACTTTACTGAAAAATAAAGCTAACTGCTAATTTTTGTGTTTGCCTGAGTACAGCTGAAGCCACTTTACCTGCTATAAAATGAAACTATAGTTTTTTTTAAATTGGAAAGAATTAAGTAATGACATAGAAATAATTACTGAAATATCAATGAATTTATTTGAAAAGATGTAATAGATTATTTCCAATTTGAAATAGTTAATTACTGAAATGTGTAATTTATTATTTATTTACTTATTTAATTCATTTTGGCACTCTTGGCCCTCCAGTTTCAACAACACTAGTTATCACTCAGGTGTTTTCACCTTAAACACTTCTACCCCAACGCTTTACGTTGTTCACCAGTTCCTGTTTTAAAAACAATAAAATGTTAAAGCAGCCAAAGTCGTTCTTCAGTTGAACCACTTGGCAGTCATCTTGAAACGCCTCCAGGCACTTTTCTTTTAAGCAATATGTAAATATCACCAGCACATTGGTAATTATTATTGCAATCACCCGATTACCTGTTTTAAAAAAAAAATAAAAATAGTTTGTTTACCTCTTTGCAAGTTCTGCTCCATCACAAGCTTGATAGAGGACTTTTAGAATTCATTTAGTTCAGGACACTTTTAGTGCCACCCCTTCTTTTTATATAAGAAAGCACATCGAATTTAAATTCCTCACATAAAACATCCTGAATAATCAGGTCCCATCTTATCTTAAAGACCTCCCATGATGCAATGAGTGTTTCTTCTTCACTCACCTCTAATCGTTAGTTTTTACTAACCTCTGGCCCTCTTCCACAGTGTTTCTTTCATCCCGTCTCCCTCCCCTCACCCACTTGCAGCAGATGGCTGATTCAACCTGAGCCTGGAGGTTTCTTCCTGTTGAAAGGGAGTTTTTCCTTCCCACTGTCACCAAGTGATCGCTGCTCATAACTGCTTGTTGGGGCTTGTCCTTCTAACATTGCAGGGTCTTTACCTTACAATATAAAGGCAGATTTTGGCACTACAAAAGTACAACTGAATTAAACTGAATAATGTTGATGATGCAGTTTAAACTTTACACAGATTCCAGCAAATAAAAAGACAACAAAATACCAAGTCCAAACACTTTACACTTTATTGTCCTGACTATTTGATATGGTGGAGCACATATAAAAGTTAGAAAATTAACTAATAGTTAGTTTGGCCCAAAGGTTTTCTATTCTACACAGTGAAGCACATGAATACACGGCAATGTGGTTTAACACAATAAATAGGTAAAGTTGTCAGCTCAAACAAAACGTAAAACATCTACAGTATTCTGAAACCCTCTGATAATGATATTTACACTCATCAAATAACTCATATTTACTATGGAATGATAGGATGAAATGAACTAAGTTGTGGTGTCTGCACTCACTTTTGGTTCTGCTTTAATGCTGGTTGTGTGTGGCTGCGTGAGTGGTGAGGTGTCAGTCAAGGCTCGCTCTGTTGCTACAGAGGGACCACATCTGTGTACAGTTTTCCCAAGCATATCATACATGTTAGAAGCTATGGCTCTAGTCTATATCAAGGTCAGAGTCCTCGTCGCTCACAGTGCTCTGTATGATTGCTCCGTTGCGAACCATCTTTGGGACGACGGGAGGCTTTTCGGGCAGCAAGCCGTACTCCCGCAGCAGGGCCTCCAGGTCTACGGCAAAGAAGTCTTCCCCGAGCTGATCTGTGAGCCGCACAAAGTTGCCGATCAGGTCCCCGGCTTTGTAAACGAGCAGAGCAGGCAGAGCGCTGTCTCTGAACAGTGCGCTGGTGCTGATGGCTGAGCTGCGCACGCTGCAGAACTTGACCAGCGGGTATTCCTGAGCTAGACACATCAGGCTGCCGCTCATGGCCTCGCAGCCCGGGACGTCCGGCTCGTAGATGTGGATCATGACCAGGGTGCTTTTGTCCTCTTTGTCTAAAGCCTCTAAGAACTCCTCCCCACTGTTTAGCTCGTAGACCTGCTCAAAACGCTTGCCGCGGCACAGCTGGCGCCGCATCTCTTCGATGCGCTGCATGCGGTAATGCTGGAGGAATTCTTCATCATCCTCTTCTTCCTGAAGCATGTTGTACTCCTGCATGGTCATCTGTGAAGCAGACAGGAATGAACACACAAAATCAGACGAGTGTGTGCAACACAATTCACACTTCTTTGTATTCTTTGAATATGAATCTACAGCCAGGAGAGAGTGGACTTAGGACAAAAACTGGAATAAACTAGACCGAGTTTTATTCATTAAAGAAAAAAAGAAAAAGCATCTTGAGCCTATTGAGTATATGATGTATGTTGTTTGTTCCATCCACAAATACAATCAATGGTGCAGAGTCTAGAAAATAGAAGTTTTTTTGTTTTACCATGTTCACGCTGTCCTTTATAATCAGCTCTTTGCCTACATTCACCCCAGGAGGGATGCCACTGATCAGCAACAATAGGTCTGAGCTAAACGAGGGTTTTCAGAGGTCTTTCATGTGTCTTCTGTTAGTCTGATTTACTTACTTTGCCTTGGATTTTTTCCTGAAGTGCCTTCTGTTTCTCTTGGTCCTTTTCCTGGTCGAGGTTAGAGCGGCATGTCATCGACAGCTTCTTGATCAGTCTTTCCATCTCCTTCTTCTGCTCTTGTTTCTGCTCCACCTCAAGCTGCTTGTACTTCCTCCAGTCATTGATCACACCCTTGGGCCCTGACACAGAACAGCCACTGTTACCATAACACACTCTATATTCTTATGACACAGATGAAAGATCGATTAAAGTCAAACACAAGGATGGTTTAAAAATAAGGGAAGCTCCAAGGATTTTTTTTTTAAAAGTTTCTGACATTTTTATTTGTCAAAAATAACCAGATAATTTATTTAGATGTCATTTTGGGCTGCTGCCTTGTGACAAGGGATCAATTTTTTTTCCCTGTGAATGCACTACATCTGTTTGTACAACCTGTGTTCACAGCACTTCCATCTGCGCTGTAGTCTATCTCGGGTTCCGTGACTTCAGCATCCCTAATGGTCTTGTTCTCCCCATCCTCATCATCATTGTCGCTGCCTTCATCCTCACTGCTGCTGTAGTAATACTGCAGCTTCTCTCCCAGGATCTTGTCATCCAGAGTAGTCATGATGACGGCTCGCCTGTGGGAAGCAGTATGAACTAGTTTAATAATGAATAACAAGCACACAATACAACGACTCCGAGATATTAAAGACTTCTAACCTCACTGATAAAAATCTGGATAAATCGGATAAAAAACGCGTTCATTGCTTAATAGTCCAGTATAGTGCTGTATAATCCAGACAGATAAACACAGCTAGGAAAGGCTTATGTACAGAAAGTGGGCCACACACTATACATAGCTTAGAGTAAGTGTGCCAGTTTATTAAACTTAAGCTAAGAGGCATTTTGTGATGCACCGATCCGTATGTAAGAGAGCCGGTGTGTACAGATGGGCAGACGGGGAGAGAGACATTCCTCACACTGCCCTCTTACTTATGACAGCATACACAATATGAGGCATGAATCGGGACTGTGCTGCTTTATTATTGTCCCAGCACAGCAGCTGACAGCGAAGATAACAGCTAACGAGAGTTGATCTGAGAGCCTCTGCCGATGTTGAAACAGATAGCTCAACCATTCACTATTGCTGTTGTTTCAGTACATGTGCCGTACTGAAAAGAAAATGGCGACAATCCAATTAGCTTGTTTATGTAAGAAGGACGCGGGCCGAACAGCTGGTGGGTTGGGTGTTTGTAGAAAGTAAGGTGGTTAGCATTAGCTACGTAGGTTAGCTACTTCTCCTATGCTGACTTCCTGGGAGTCCGCGGCAGCCATTACCCGAGATTGCATTAAAACGAAGCCGACTCCTACATCATATATTGCATTAAAACGACACAATACATCCACTGCTTGTAACCACCCGGCTTCTTACCTCAATTTAATAACCGGCTCGCTGACTGCCCGAGCTTAATCCACTAGTTCAGCCGCCTCAAGCCGCTCTTCCACACAAACGTGATGCCTTCAGGGTTCACTGACGTGTCGTAATAATGATTCGAGGGTAAAGAGAATCGGAATGAAGTCGAAACTGCAGCCAGTTTAAACTGCATCCTGGCTGTTATGTAGACACGCTGAAACTCACCTCTCCGATAATTGTAACGAAACAATTTTACTTTCTATAGCTTTGCAAACAATTGCAGCACGCGAGTATTTAATTTACTTATAAGCTTAAAAATGACGTAATCAAGCAGTAGAAGATCCGAACTGCTTTCTAAATAGTTAGTTATGATACTGTTTCCATCCAAACTAATATGTCAACCCACTGTGGTGACACTGTAATATTTAGTTTTGACTTTATTGTGAGTTTGGACTTTACCGAGGGCGCCTAAAGACAACACATGAGGTGCGGGAAGTTGCTGGAAGATAAACTATGCAACTCCCTATTTCACCACTAGAGGGCAAAAAGAGTGCTGCTATGGCTTCTACAATCAGTGCCAAGCTAAATATTTTGACTTTATCATTCCTTCTTCCTTTTAAATATTTTTCACAAAAGCTGTCTGAAATCAGTGAAAAGATACGGGTTTGCATTCCCATGTTTATATAAACGATTACACAATGCAAATCATCTGAAAAGACTAATAGCAGGTACATACAGACTGTATATGTGGTTTTTCCGGACATATATAATCCCATATGTATGTATGCAGAAGTGCATATAGCAAGAACACATGTTTTAAACTATGAAGCAAGGGCAATTTAGTTATATGTGTATTTTAAACCACGCTGTGCACCCTGGTTATTTAAAAAAAAGAAAAGAAAGAAAGAAAAAAAGAAGACTTGCAGTTACATAGCACTGGGCAGGTCTCTCTCATCAGCTATCATTGGTGTTCAACTTTAAGCCAAAAAATACACTGGTTTGCACTGAGATGCAGTGGGTGAGTAATGTGGGTGGGGTACAAACAGTCATGAGAGATAATGATCATTGGGTCGTAAATAATGTTGAAGCCTGAGTACGTTTGAATGAATGGGCAGTTTTATTTCAGTCTTTATGCTGAGCTGCAATGAGATCTTTCAAAATAATTCTGCAGACAGTAAAAACGTTTACTGATGGACAGTGCGAACAGGTATTGTGATCATTTCAGTCTTCGGACACAAGTTTTATTTACAAAAAAACATGTTTATTCCTCATGTATTTGTGTTCAAGTGTATGAGACAGTGAGCAAAATAAAGGAAAAGGCATATTTGATTTCATTCTGAGCTCTTGATTCCTGTGTGACTCTCCAGTGCTGTTCAAGCATGCATTACTGATGTTTTCCAAGCAAACATCTGTAACACAAATTTTTAAAAAATGTTTTATTTAGCAGCCGCCTCTTTTACCTTCATATAATGATCTTACAAAAACAAAACAACCTTCTGATGTCTGCAAAGGTTATAGCTCATCAGTCTGCGCTCTGTCACCTTCTCGCCCGTGTTCTTGCTTCTCTTCTGCTGGTACTCTAAATGACACGTAAGGACACGTTCTGGTGTTTTGACACACCAGCTTCTTGAGTGTGGCAGAGTTTACTATTTCAAAGCCCACCTTTCCTCCAAAGGTGCTGGGCTTCCAGTATTCCGGAGAGCATATAGGGTTTCCCAGGAGGCCTTTAAGGGAGAAGGGGGCACCCATCTCCACCATGCTTTCACCAAATATGGCCCCCGCTCGTGTTTTCTCCAACAACAAGCCGGGGTAAAATTCCAGTGCGTCAATGTCATCGTAGAGCTCTTCGAGGTCTCGTGCTATCTCCTCATTATCTGCAAAAAGTGACCAAATATGTCAAATAGGATGTTTATGAAGCAGGTCATCAACATCATTACAGTACAGATTTTTACAGATAATATTTGCAGGTTTTAAACCAATACTGCTGTAAGGCTGGCAGATCAGTTCAGCACATTAGTTTTGACAGGGAGGTTTTCTACAGAGCTCCTCCAATAGAGTGAGACACACTGCTGTGAAATTTCATGACCAGGTGATGAAGCCTTCCCCCGGCTTTGATTTTATTTTGTAGGCCTACTGCTGCTTCTTCAAGGGGTCCAATCAGCAGCTACTGAATTCACTGACTATGGCTTAAAACACCTCTTTCGTGGATTTTCAGGCTCTATGAACTATCACAGTCTTTCTCCATCTTCATCACGGAGTCACTGGAGTTGTAAGCTCTTTGAATCTCTCTCTATGTCAGGGAGCTGCATGATGTAAATCGGCACATGACTGTTTAAGATGGACACTCAGTGGAGTTCGTGACATGTAAATAGAGATTCTGATGCAAATGCATCCCCTCGCTACCCTTCAGAGGACAGCAGAGGGAAGAAAATAACTTTGACAAAACCAGTGCTTTAAAAATTGCTCCAAAAAGAGAGCAGATGCCATTAATTCCAGGAGTGTCCGTCCAGCTGTTTGCGTGGACTTCTAAAATTTGTGCCATGTGAGCTAGACACAGAATCATTTGCCTTACCGGTGAATTCCCTGAATGACGTGTATGGCGTGAGGTTAAAGCGCTTCCTGTACTGGTTGAAAGACTGGAGGCGAAGTTCACGGGACTCCTTGATGGTCCCAACGGCTACTTTGGTGACCATCGCATTGATGTTGTGCCCACCGCCAATCTGTGGGTCAACGGTGGGAGAAGTAAGTAACCAATATGGAGTGACCTCAGTCAAAAGACATCCTGTGAGAAGTTAGGTACAAAGTGACTGAAACACATGGCTTACTGCAGAAGTCTGCACAAGCCTCAGCTTATCAGTACGAAAACAAGCTGTCAGCGTGCGATCACATTATATCACTCGCAGAGTATGATAAAGCAAAACAGGAAAACTTTGTGTGACTGCCAGAAATCCTTAAACATGGATCACTGAATTGTGCAACACTTCAGTTGCTGATGGTTACAAAGCGAGTTATAAAACACAGACGTCCAAACAACTCTCACTTGTAAAAATGCACCATAACTGTGTGTTACAATTACACAACATGTGCCGTTTGCTACCTGCCCAGCAATTTGCCTGGAGAAGGAATCCACGAGGGCCTCCACGCCGTAGTGCGTCAGAACAGACGTGTTGAAGAGAAACTGTTCGTATGACAGCTCGTCCCCATTTATTAAGAAGCTGTCGGGCATCAAAGGGTGCCAGTGGTAGAGCTGGCTGAACTCCAGAGCGATACGGTTGCCGTACTGGAAGGGAGAGCCGAACAGCAGGGTGGGATCGAACTTGAGTTGAAGCAGGTATCCGCTGAGGTGCTGCACGTAATCTTCTATCACGATTCGTATGGTCTCGCCTTCGAGAAGCAAAGGGATTAAAGAAAAATGCACCAAGCAGACAGTGGCTCGACCTCAAGTTAAACAAACAAAGTTTACCAAAAAAACAATACATAATTAAATGCAATAGTTTAGTGTAAAGAACAGGCTCTGGCTACACCTGTGCGGAATTCAGTGGTTGCTTAAGGCAAAAGACTGCTTGTTATTTCCCCAAATGATCACCACAGCAGATGTTTTTCAATTAGGCACAGATTTTATGCCAGATGTTCTTCCTGATGCAACCTTCACATTTATCTTGACTTGAGACCAGTACTAGAAGTACACCATCTTATGACCCACTTGAGGCTGGGTTTGAGTCTGTTCCCGACATCAAACTGAGGCTCTTTCCTGTGTAAGGCAAACGTATTAACCACTACACCACGCAGATGCTGGTAAGGAACAAGTCTGGCTCAAACTTTCAAAAAAGAAAAAAAAAGAAGTCATTTTTAAACCAAATTTAGTATAAAATCCAACATGTTTTGCTCAATTTTATTTAAACTAGTTAACTTGTTATTAGAAAAAGCAGTGAACTGTCACATGTCCTAGCCACTTGCACTAAACACTTGAAGTCTGCAATGCCAGGCTCACTGTTCCTTTTGAACTGTGTCTAACTCACCGATAATAATGAGCCGTGTGGTCTGGAAAAGCTGCTCATCGTCCCAGGTGGGATGCTCCGCTTTCAATATATCACAGACTCGGTTGTGCTCCCTCAGCCACAGCGTGGCGTACATTCCCAAACCAGGGAGAAGTCCATAGACTTCCTGACCGATAGCCATCTGAGCCTCAGCGGGGACTCCGGGAGGGTAGCTCATTCTAACAGATGCATCAGCGACACTGGGAGGGTACATCTCTCCATCAATTAACTGACCGGACAGAAAAAGAAAGAATGATGATACAACTCACTGTCATCTGTAATTCACAATGTTAATGAAGATCAAGTATTTCATTTTAAAAAGAACTGCAGAACTGACAGTTGCGCTTCTAAATCAACATGTACACTCACTGGCTGCTTCATTAGCTACACCCTGCTAGTACCAGGTTGGACCAATAGAACCAACAGAAGATGGGTACACTGAGGTGATAAAGGGATGAACATACACAGCAACAATACTCAGGTAGGCTGTGGTGTTGAAATGATGCTCAGTTGGTTCTAAGTGGCCCAAAGTTTGCCAAGAAAAATATCCCTCACACCAGCAGCAGCCGTCGATACAAGCCAGGATCTGTCCATGTTTTCACAAAGCCTTGCTCTGAAATTGAGCACTCTTCTATTACTCAATTTTGGTGAGCCCACACGAACTGCAGGCATCCAAAACAAACAACCACGCCACGTTCAAAATGACTTACACCACCTTTTGCCCCCACCCTGATGCTCTCTTTGAACTTCAGCAGTTCAACATGTTGATACAGAACAGGTTGAACACAAAAGGAGATGCACACAAATTCCACTTAAAAACATATTTATCTTAAATGAGGGAAACACGGAGAGAGCTTCAGCTAACCGTGGTGTGTGTAATCAGTACAATCAGTACAGTGCAATTGAGCTCGGAGGGTTTTTATCGAGCAGCACCACTGATTGGATGCAAGCTACTCCACTTCTCTGACATCTGCTGATGAGCCCTGCCACACAACGGGCTGAAATGAAAGCAGGCTGAAGTCGATTATCACGATGTCGGATGTCTGCAAGCAGTGATTGCAGCTATGTGATTGGCTGATTAGATCACTTAAGGGGCAGTTGAACAGGCGTCCCTAATAAAGCAGTCAGATATAAGTCTGCAAATGACTTTACCTGATATTTCAGCTTTCCATCTTTGAGAAGCCTGAGGTTTAGCTGACGATCCAGGCTGTCTCCATAAATGTGTCCTGCGTCCACCTGTTTGAGTCGCAGGAGAGAACGAAAAAAAGCATCAGAGGTGTAATTGTAAAAAGCCGCTGCTACTTCATCTGGAGTTACCCTCCAACTTCCACCAACCTCCAGCTTCATAATGTAAATTATACTGCTGAAATTGAACAAAAAGACAGAATCAAGACTAGAAGTTTCCCTCTCCTCTTATGCTATGTATATAACACTAACTCCTTAATAAAGCTAATGTACTGCACACCAAAGATCAGGATGGACTGACCCCGTGGCCGACAGCCTTAGTGAAGCCGAGGCCCATGCGATTGAAGGTCTTAAAGAACTGGTGGGTGAAGTGCTGCGCGAAGAAGGCGAACATGAGGCTGGTGCGCTGGGGATCGGGTCGGAACGTCCTTCTCTTCAGAAGCCTCTCAACCAACACCTCAGGGTCAGGTAGCCCAGCCTTGCCTGAAGAGAAACACCACAGCATCACGCACCATACCGGGGGGGGGAAAACACAGATACACCCGACTCAAGCCATAATACTGAAGCTCTGACACAGCTGACATGTTAAACTGCACTTCTGCGCAGTCCAAGGTCAAGATATGGATAAAAGCAATCCTTAAACTACACGCTTTGCATAAAAATGTGGATTTAAATTTGGAACTATGTGAGCTTACATTTGATGCCAGCATTTGTTGTCAGATGTTTAAATTTATACTCTTAATCAACAGAATCATCAACCATCATTTGACAAAGCACATTTAAATGAGCAATAGCAGACACTGGCCTCTTGGGGGCAGTATAACAAAAATAACAAGGGATTCTAAACCATGACTAGCAAAGTTGGATTCATGTTGAGTCATGTTTCAGTCCGCTTGTTGGGTGTCGATTTGGTATTCAATTTCTATCACACTCCCCTAATTACAAAATGTGGCTCCTTGGAAGCTAACCTTTCACCCCCAAAGGTGTGGGACAGTCCTTTGGCACCGGAGGCAGAAGTCGAGTGTAGTAGCTCAGATTATAGTAGGATTCCCAGCTGAGGTAGTCATACTTGGAGTTGAAGGTTGGAGGGCTGGGAATTAAGTTTGACCTCACTGTTGGTACAAAAAAAACAAATGTATTAGATACACAGAACGTGTAAAAAACATCCAGAATGAATTTCTCTACAATAAGTTTGCTGACTCTGGACCTGTTAACACCAGCCGCATGAGGACGTCCCGCAGGAAAGTGTGGTTGATGATGTCCCAGAGCCAGTGGAAGTGGGTGAGAATGTAGTGCACCACACCTGGATTGGGCCTGAAAAACTGACGAACTCGGGTCCAAAGCTCGGCTGGAATGGCAGAACATCACGAGACACGGTCTTGTTATTACTGGAAGTCATGGCAACTGGGGATCTGGAAATCTACTCTAAATAACAAAGTCGTTATGTCATTATGGAGCAGAACACTTGGCAGGCATGGTCTTGCTTTTAAAACCAGGATCAAGACTTCTGAATTGCCACCCACACCTCTGGAGTCGGTGGATTACTGAATGAAGTGAAATATAATGGCAGTTCTGTCTCATTATTCACATTATCTCATTGTGAAAAAGGCTTAACACGAGCTGGAGAAAGCAGGACAATACAAGTTTTTGTGTCATACCACAGGCTTCTGATTTTATCAAAAGTGTATTATTAACAGGACAAATAAGTATTGGTGTATCATATTCCTATATATTCCTACTTGTTACAAAAAACCCTGAAAAAATGAAAGAGTGTAATTCCCAAAAATGTGAAACTGTTCCTTTCACTTGGCTGGTAGCTCCATAAAGACGTCATAATATTTTCTTTGGAGCTACATGAGCAATATGTGTGTCTATTCTGCGTTACACAATAAGTGAAAACATTGGTCTACATGTAACTCCTTTTCCTGTCCAATACTCCTTTCCTTCCTTTTCTTTCCTACTCCTGCTCCTATTGTCTTTTTCTTTCCATGTACAATCAAAGCAGTGATTAACTGTTATTACACTCAGTGTGCGAATGTCTGCCAAATACATAACAAATGATTGGGAACTACAGCATGTGAGGGTTCTTTGTTAATCCAGCTGCTCTCTTCTTGGCACTTCCCCACGCTCCTTCAATTTTCCCAAATACTTGTCTAGACAGACGTTTTAACGCTGACAGCCTGGGGCTATGAAATTAAACCTTTTTTTTTTTCAAAACCCTTTGGTTTTATGTTAAGTTAAATAGTTGAAATTCCTAAAAGGTACAGCAATAAAAGAGGATATGAGCACCACTCTCACAGAGGAAAACTAACTTACGGACTGTGCAGTTTTCTCCGTAGTAGCCGGTACGAGTGCAGTCACACTCATACTTGTCCTGACCGTACTGGACGCACACACCCCAGTGCTGACAGGGGAAGGAACAGCATGGATTGACTGTGGAAAATAAAGAGAAAAGAAAACTCATGTGAAGATCATTTGGAAATACTTGAACGTCAGGTAGGCCGATTATATATGAAGCGGTGGCATGGAAATAAACTGAAAGAGAGATCAAATATTGAAGCGGCACCGGCACTTCCTGTGGTATTCCATACAAAACCATCTGCCTTCGAGCAAGATCAGACCGCTATTTGAAAATGCCCACGCAAAAAAAAGGAAAAGAATAAAAGAAAGCCTTAGAGCCAGACATGAAATCAGAGACAGATGGAATCTTAGACTGCACTACTGGAAACATGCTTTTATTAAAAAAATACCTCTGCAGATTAGGCAAGGTGAACAAGTTCTTGCTCCAAGCGCAACTTTTGTTCTTTACAGGAATTTTGTATTCATCACTGACACAATGTGAGAAAAAAGCCACCAGGTGTCACATCAACATAAATGTGACAGTCTTGGAAATTTGCTCTATACAGCACTAATCGTTGCTCAGGAAAGCATTCTGGAGAAGACCCACATAACTGGGTACCAAGTTTATTGCTTGCTTACTATTGCACATTTTACTCGATAACATAAAGCGTTACACGTGTTACTTCCGCCGAGGAGGTTATGCTTTTGGTATCGTTTTGAGTTTTGGATAAAATAAGTCTTAAATGAGTTCTGATAAAACTTTGTAAATGTGTAGAGCGCGCTCATGTTAACAATTTCTTACTGCCATTGTTTATATTGACCACATATAGGCAACGCGTTGGGAATGATGTATGTGAGGATTATTACAGTTTTTATCCAAACATTTTGTCACATTTGACCTCAGATCTCACTTTTACATTTAGATATTTGAAGAAAGTTCAAGAGAAGGAGAACGAGCTGTCTTTTCACTCAGAAATATACAAGTTTATCATGTCCAGTTATTTATAAATCATTATCTATTATCCATTACCTACTAACATATGTTAGTAAACATATGTTAAAAAAGAACAAAGAAATCAGAATGAATGAAATTAAAAGTAAATAGAGAGTCAGCTGCCCTGGTGGAGGTTTGTGCTCTCAAAGTGATTCTTGTACTTCTTTAACATGCAAGTTTGACCTTTGGGAAATATGCTCATTCGTACTTTGGCTAATAGACAGCTGAGTTGTTCTGTTCTGTTCTTCCCTGGCAGGTGTGTGTACATGGACAGTTGATTGTACCATGGATGCTTAGCTGTTCTTATTAAACTCCTTTGTAGTAAAATGAAGCTGGCACGTGCAGTTTGATGGTAAACTATTTTCCACACATAGTCTGGATTACAGCCTCTAGTGACCCCTTGTGTGAATTTCCTGGGAAGAACTCAGTTTCAGAGCTTTCTGTTTCACGGCTGACACTCAGTTTGGCCAGAGCCACCACAACCAGCTGCTTTTTATACACAAGATTCTGTTTTGATTTAACATTACTTTTAACATTTAAAGTACTTATTGCTTGTCCCCTTGCAATCAGAAATCAATTCTTAATCAACCAATCATACAACTCATAGACTTATATATGAGATGAATGGAGGGTGTTAAATGTGAAGCGCGTGTACAAGTTTGTTAAACCTGCATCGTTTTTAACAGCCAGCAGCGGCTTTTCCTTTGGTTTCTTCCCATCTACCCAAAAAGTGCATAATGTGCTCCATTAGAAAGGATTCCTATGATAACAGATACTTTTCATTTTCATTTATTTATTTCACACTTGGTCAACAGTTTCCACAGTTAGTTCTTTCAAACAAACCAACTACACTTTCTGTCAGTAAAGCACTGCAACCATGTCTGAAAAGGAGCAGGCAGAAGAATATATTCTTATTAAACCCTGCCCTCTATCCACAATCCAACTTATATTGCAAGTGGGCACCAAAAGTCAAGGAACAAACTAACATTAACACTTATTTCCAGTCCTAACTCAAACCAAACAACAAATTTACAATCAGAATATACCACTCCACATAGTAACAAGGAGAAAAGATAAGTAAATAAAATAAATGAAACAAAAAATAATGGATCCTTTTACTCCAATTTCATTCACATTCTTGATATTGAGTTATCGTTTTAGACATGTAACACTTTTTAAAACAATGTAAATTTATACAACTCTTTAAATTATAATGAAGAGAGTTCCACAGTTGTATACCCCTAACCGTTGGACTCATTAATCTTTGTGTAGTCCTAGCTAGATGATGTTTAAAATAAAATTTCCTTCTGCTATATTCTCCCCCCGAACACGTTAAAAATACTTTTTGTAACTTAGAAGGCAAATTATTACTTTTAGCCTTAAACATAATTAATAGTGTCTATAGTTTCACTAAATCTCCTAATTTTAAGAATTTTGATTTTATAAATAATTTATTTGTATGTTCTCTATATTTAACCTTATGAATCATTCGTATCACTTTCTTCTGTAATAAGTTTAGAGGTTTTATAGTATTCTCATATGTATTTCCCCAAACTTCGACACAGTAACTAAAGTATTGAAAAACAATGAGAAATATAAAATGCGCATTGTTTTGTGGTCTAATAAATCTTTTACATTTCCCAAAATATAAATGTTTTTAACCATCTTCTTTCTAATATACTCAATATGTGATTTCCACGTCAAATTTTCATCTATTACACCCAAAAAGCGAAATTCAGTAACTCTTTCAATCAATTCTGCATTAATGGACATAATGACTTCTTCCTCCTTTACACGATTGCCAAATATCATGAATTTCGTTTTTGTCAGATTCAAAGATAATTTATTTACATCAAACCATTTTTTAAATCTTAACATCTCAGAAGTCATAATTTCAACCAAATCTTTCAAATTCTCTCCAGAGCAATAAAAATTTGTGTCATCTGCAAATAAAATAAAATTTAACCTTTTTGATACTTCACAGATATCATTAATATATAAATTAAAAAGTTTAGGTCCTAAAATAGAACCTTGAGGAACCCCACATACAATCTTCAATCTTTCAGAGGTATTGCCGAGATAATGTACATATTTTCTAAATAACTCCTTAACCAAGTCAATGCCACACCTCTCACACCATAATTATACAATTTAGAAATCAAAATGAAATGTTGTAACGTGTCAAAAGCTTTTTTTAAATCAACGAATACCCCAACTGTGTATTTATTATTATGGGTTGCAGATGAAATATCGTCAATGAAAGTAATGCCGTTGATCTATTTTTACAAAATCCAAATTGATTTTCATTAATTAGTTGATTTTTTCAATAAAACTATCAAGTCTTGCACAAAAAGTTTTTCAAGCACTATTGAAAACTGTGACAAAAGAGACACTGGCCTATAGTTGTTAAAACTATGCTTATCTCCTGATTTATATAAGGGTATCACTTTTTCCACTTTCATTCGATCAGGAAATACTCCTGATTGTAACGAGAGATTAAAAATATAGCATAGAAGAATACTTATACAGTCTAAAGTCTTTTTAATTATAACCATGTCTATACCATCACAGTCAGTAGATTTTTTATTTCTAAAATTTTCTACAATTGCTACTTTTTCTTTTATGGTAATATCAGCTAAGAATATAAAATTAACCACTCTACTTTCTCCTTTCCAAACTTCATATTCTGGGTCGTCATTTTTTCTAATTAAATTTGCTAAAGTAGGTCCAACATTTACAAAAAAGGAAATAAATTCGTTTGCTACTTCAGTCTTATTATCGACAACTTGATTATTCTTAATAAAATAAATACACCGATCTGAGGGTGTGTTCTTGTTACCCAATACTTCTTTAAAAATATTCCAAATGCCCTCAATATTATTCTTGTTTTCCTGAAAAAGTTTATTATAATAGTCTTTCTTGGCTTTCCTCAATATTAATAACAACTTATTGAAATAAACCTTATATTTCATTTCCGCATTCTTAGTTCTCTGTGTTATATAGTCCCTATATAAATTATTCTTCTTTTTACACGCATTTGCAAGACCCTTAGTTATCCAAGGTTTCAAATAAAAGATAATCGTACACTTCTTTACAAGTTTAATAAACCAGTGTGGGAAAAACCATCCGCATGAAAAGACCTTTGTTCTCGGACACACACAGAGAAGCAGAGTGAGGAGGAGGTGGGTGGTGCTGGTGGGGGAGGTGGGTGTTGGTGGGGGATGGCGTCTAAACTACTGACGCGCAAGTTTCTGCATGCAAGTTCCGGGTGAGAGTAAATCCTGTTAATTTACATTATGATGACAGATAAGGCCGGCCAGGCATTCTTTCTCTCCAAGATCCATACACTGATAACCACAATTACATAACTCGTTAGATCACTTCTTGGTACAGGGTTTCATTTGTGCATTTTATTGGAACTGCAAGATAAACAACACATCCAAGCTCTTCTGAGTAAAAACATGCGGCATGGAACACTTCCTCGTGCACATGTGGATTCATGTCTCTCCAAGCCACCTCCTGGCCTCGATCCTCCACACTTAACAGATGTGTAACTACATCTGACAGCTGTGTAAACTGCATACACACTGCCTGAGAGGTCAGAAGAAGTTCAAATCTCTCTCTTTCTCAAATCTCTCACACACATCTTTTTATTTTGCATAGACCTTCCAAAAAGCAATATTAAATTCAATGTAGACATAAATCACCAGGAGTGAGTTAGTCTATGGAGAAAGTTTTCTCCTGTGACTAGACATAAATCTCTGTGCGCGAGTCTTCCGTTGGAGACAATGAGCGTAAATATGTCATCCTGAAAAAATTTCATTCTGAAAAGGGCGGTGCTCAAAAGGTGGAGTCGGCATGAGAAATAAGTTAGAGCTGATCATGCTGCATTACGTGTGTAAGACATGAGAGATGGAAAAAGTGCCCACATGGGCCAGGCAGGAAATGCCTGGTCTCCTCAAGGATGATCCCGTGCTCAGTGTTGAAATCCTACCTTATATAGAAAAACATTAAGAAATACTCAGCCTGCACTTGAATTTAAATTAAAAGGAGTTCCAACAGCAGGCCTCCTTACTCGCGAATAATCTTTTCCTTAGTCTTCCAGCGGATGATGTCATGTTACTGTACCAGTGCCTGTCTTTATTATCGGGGTTAAACGAATGTGTAGCTGCTGGCAGCTTCACTCACATCACTCAGAAAAAAGCCCTGATAAGAACCAGTGTTAGTCAAAACACAGACTGCGTGTGTTTCTTGCTGCAGACTTTGCAGTTATTAAAGCAGCAAATGTTCCAAATAACAGGTAATGCTATAAGTCAGAGCATCAAACCCCACCAGTCCTCTTTACCTACCTGTGCTCGAGGTAACGTCATCACCCCGACACGCAGGCTCCCGCAGCAGCAACAAAAGCGCACAGGCTGATCCTAGGACAGAGGCTTCCCCACATGATTAAAAGTCAGTTAGTTTCGTGTCCAGCAGCTGAAACATCAAATCACCGAGCAGCACCTCTACGTAAAGGGCTCGATCTCTACTTACCTCTCATTCCAGCAGGAGTTTTTCATACCAACTCATACAACGGGTGGGAAAGTGCAGGGATCCAGATTTTGCAGGTAAACACAGGATCAGGAGTATGGAGACGATCCGGGTGTTGGGTCAGCGTGAAAGAGAAGCAAAACCAGCTATCCAACAGGTTACTCCTGTGTGTGAGCACAGCCAAGCTGCACTGCGCCTTTATGGCCCCCGGAGAGGGGAGAGAAAGAGCGACGGTGACTTGGAGCCAAGTGCGGGTTTCCCCGCTCTTTACCGCCTACTGCTGGTGATCAGTGGCCCTACTTCCTAAATACTGCCTAACTTTCTATTGCCATGTTCACTGTTTTAAGGTCTTCTAAGATTGTAAAGCCTTGTAAATCATGGAGCTAAATAGTTTTAGACGCTGTAATCGTTTCAATTTAATGTCTTTAATATTGGTTCATTTTTTTCTGGGTATAACGTAATAAAACATCACCCATTGCATTTCCATAAAAAAGACACAAAATGTTGTGGAGATATTTCAGTCTGGACTAACATGGCACACTAATAAGGACACTTCCCCTGCACTGAGAAGAACAATAAACTTTTCCAACTGAGTGGTTTCTTGGCAGGTGCTTTTTACATCCTGCCTCGGATGTTTGCTTGAGATGAGGGAAAAGCAGCCGTGGATAAACTCTCAGGGAGATAAGGCAAGGATTTAATGTCACCTCTGCCACTGGAGTTTATGAAAGTTCAGAGGAAGTCATGATGGCGCCATTAGAAGAAGTCAGGAAGTCAGATTAAGACAGAATCTCAGCCAAAATCCAGAAAACAACACATTACATAAAAGACATACCTGTCAGCTCATTGTATTAAAAGCTCACCTTTGCACAAAATCAATTTCTTCTATTCTCACCACCATGGGCCAGACCAAAGATTGTACATCTGCACAAGACTGGAATGGGCTGTAAGGCCAACAACAAGCTTGGGAAAAAGTGCTGTGGTCAGATGAAACCAAAATCAAACTCAACTCGAACAAGTCAAGCACGGAGGTGGAAAACGTTTGGCGTGTTTTTCTGCTAAGGTCGACTTCATCACACTGAAGGGCCAATAGACTGAGCCACGAGGCGGTTGCCAAGTGGCAGGAAAGAACCCTAAACTGTTTATAAAGTTTCTCAAGGGTTTCTCCACCAAATACTAAGTCATGTTTTGCTTGGGGATCAAATACTTATGCCACTCAATGTGACATATCAATCAATTTATAACTTTTATGTATTTTGTGTGTTTGTCTGTGTCAGAATATGACAGAAATAAGAATCGTCTCAGTTCCCTGATTCAACATTTGTCTGCTCTAAAACAACTGGCTGGAGAACATTAATAACTAGAAACATGGAGGTCCATTGTTTATTAAACCTTAACTCTTCTCCTGTCCACGCGAGCACTTTAAACCACTTCACACATGCCCTACAAAGTCTTAATAATAGCACTTGTAAGCGAATCCTTTTAGACATTTACATTCCCATGAGTCGTTGCAGTGCTGCAGCATTCACAGCATTCAACTGTATGTAAAAAGAAAGAAAAGCATTTTACTGTCAGTTTAAAGTGACTCGTTCATGCATCATTTTTAAATTAGGTTGTCTGATATATGCTAAGTCACTGAGTGACTGTGCATTGGCCATGCGGCAGATTTACAAGTTAAAAATATGAAAGGACAACACAGTTTTCACAGAGGTGGAGGATTATTTTGCCAGTGCAAAGGAGAAACTCTGCCACAGCATCAGGAAGAATGTTGGGAATTACAGCTGCTGCAAAAGCCTTCGAGGCTTATCTGTGATTGAAGCCATCCTACCCCTACACACAAAGAGGCTGTAAATCAACTTGACAGACTGCCCGGTAGATTACATTTGTCAGCATACGCATGCATAAGCACAGGCAATTGGGAACAGTGCTGAAAGCAGCTCCCGAGGCTCTGGTGTTGTATCTGCAAAGTTTTTCTAAGAAGCTTTCCAACTTCTTAGAAAATGTTTGGATTTACTGGTAACAGGAATACTTTGAACATCCATCATCTCTATCTGGTAATCACCATATTCAGATTGTTGGTAATTTCATGTCTCAAGGAAACCTCTGTTGAGAAATCACCACATACTTCCTACCGCTTGTTTTCTCCACTGCGATGCCTCTTGGGGAATTTCCAACTCGCAGCCATAAAAATTCTGTATTTTGACTCATTTGTAAACAGACTTTCCTCTGAGAAATTTCTGCATTATTTATATTATTTAAATATTTAGACTTGTTTTGTCATTGAGGATGTTACACAGCAACTAATTGCTATTCGCCCTCCAGCTGCACTTATACTATGCAGGCATGGGTGCTGTTAGCGACTTTGGGTAGCTTGAAAAAAGGCCAGCTCTGGGACCACCGAATACTAACTCTAGTATCTAGATCAGTTCTGTCCGAAAGCAATCAGTGGGCAGACTAATTGATATTTAAGCAATGTTGTATCCAATAAACAACTTCGCCTCACTGACTCTCCTGTGTGTACAGATGTTCAGACCAGCTGCGGCTTGGAAACAGTTCAGCCCTCAACTGAATTCTTGTCAATGAAAACACTGCAGGCTAGTATTGTTACGCTGAATCATGCTAGGATACTATTAGCTTTAGCTTTTCCACAGGAATGCGTATTTTCTTTTTCTTCTATTAATCTCTGGCACTCTTCCAAAGCACGTCTTTTGTCCCGTCTTCTTCTCCTCACCCCCAACTGGTCGCAGCAGACGGCCAACCCTCCCTGAGCCTGGTTTCTTCCTGTTAAAAGGGAGTTTTTCCTTCCTACTGTCACTAAGTACTTGTTAAAATAGGGGTCATTTGCTTGTTGGGGTTTCTCTGTGTTATTGTAGGGTCTTCACGTCACTGGAGTTGGTCTCTTTTCTTTCACAACACTTTTATAAGCACAACTTTTTCTCACCAACATTTTTCCTACACATACAAACAGATTTGTGTTTCCCACAAGAAAATGGGACGATGAGGATTACACAACCTCCAGATTATTGTTACCCCTTTATGATTTCTCTCTTCCCTGTTAGTGTGTGTGTTTTGGGGCTTCTGACTACATGACTGGCCAAGAGTCTGTCTCCATTTTTCTGTTTCACACAGCCTTTCAGTCTATCATAGCATTGTGTGTGAGCAAATAAAAAATATTTTCGTGTGAAGCTTAATGTTAGATATTTCAAGCAGATAATTTAACCTTACAAACTGTTAGAACAATATGCTTAAAAATATTTTACCTGGAATAAGATGCTAAAGTGTTTTGTAGTGTCTTATGGTTTGAGTGACTTTGCTTCCTACTAAACTGATTTAGCCAGATATTGTTCTTTGTAAGATTTAAGAGACAAGAGATGAAGAAGAGAGATTATTGTTAAAAGGTAAGGACTGCTCAGTGATGTTTGATAGACCCATCGGCGTAACTTTGTGCCTAACATTGGTGGGATCAAGATCTCTGTCTAAATAAATAAATCTGGGTAAATTCCCACATGATTAAACATGCAACTATTTTGCTGGTAATAACTGAAATGAGTAAAGAACATCAACAGCCTATTTATGCAAGATAATTCATAATTTTATTGGGGGGTGTTATATTGGTTGGGTCTGATTATTTGGGGGGGGGGGGGGGGGGGGGGGGGGGCGGTGGTCATAACCCCCCTTACACCCCCCGAACTTCCCACAAAACAAACTGGGTTTTATCAACTTCGGATTATTCAAAGGCTGCATGAAATACTGCGTAGTTTACTGCAGGCTATGCTAAAGCCACAGGGCAGTTCGCTTTAGAGCAACATCAGCACAAAATCTACTTGTGCTCAAAACAGAAATCCGACATTTTTTATCCCCACTTTCACCACCACAGCCAACTTTAGGGTTCCTACACCTCTCACGTGAACCCAACTATACTTATTTTCCTGTTTGGATGTAGAGGGAAGGGCACCCGGCATAAACGATAGCAACTAGGGCTAGTTTTTCGCTGCTTGTGTTAAACACATTCAAGCTGCATAGAATTATTTCAACGTAAACTATAATCAAGTTTGCACTCCATGGAGTTGTGTAATCCTGTTAATATGAATTATGTTTTTTTTACTTTCACTGAATTTAATTTAATCAGTGCTTCCAACCACAATGTTGCAAAAAAAAAAAGTACTTCCACTTCTGTAAGTCTGTATGTCTACAACCCCTGTCCTTATTTAAAACCATTTCACAGTATCATAGGTGTTCTTTCATGAGACTGTTATATTTTAACCCAGTATTTCCATAAACCAGACATTAGCTCTTATAAGGCTGGTCTTGTAAGAAAACCTCCAACATTAAGACACCAGCTCATGTGACTGAAAACCTTTTATTCCAAGTTCGTTTCCACTTTTCACAAACTCCTGATCCCCGCCCCCCCCTTTACACTGGAGATGTATACAATGTAATCAAGAAGAAACAAAGTCAGTGTGTGTGTGTATATAAATCTGTTTACAACAACACTGTTTATGGCCACTGATGGATGGGTAGACAACAAGGACCACAAAACGAGCCTGCAACTCCTGTTTATCATCACATTTATTTAACCAAAAATGTGTCTTTTAGGATGAGCTTGAGGCAGCCACTGCAGCGCGTCTGGGCTTGGGGGTGGTGCCTTCCCGGAAACCATTCCTGAAAAACAAAAACAAAACTGATTATGCTGTTGACATATTAGACTAGTCTTACTAAGAGGTAATCATGCTAAAGAAGTCCAAGTCACGTTGTTTGTTATTCTACAAAAACGCTAAAACCACTACATCGATCCAAATATTATTCCCAACTAACCTGCTTGAATGCTGATGATTAAATCTTAATATAAATAATGATTTTAACTTGTTTTATATGAAGAATGAATAGAAAATGCAAGGCACCTTGGCACAACTGAGACTGGAGGAAGTTTGTGACGTTAAGAATGCAAATGTTTATTTCACCAAAAACGTCATTTTGGAAAACACATCCCTGAGTCAACGGAAGTAAACCATTTTCATACACAAACTACACACAATGTTGGTACTGACGTGGTCCTCCCCTACAGGCAGCACATAATACTTCTCTCTACCTCAAACACTGAAAGACCGAGCGCTCAGGAGGGAGGAGACCACCAAATGTCAGGTCCAAATGAGTCAGACATTTTAGATGCTTCACTTCTGGAGGGTCACCGCTGTACCACATGTAAAAGC